TCCAAGGCAGCAAAAGAAAAGTCTGTCCCAGCTCTCAGAGAGGGACCAGTTTGCCTTCTGTACTGCTATAGTTCTATCCTGGCCCCAGCTGTTTGGATGGTGCCTCCCAGCATGGAAGGGAAGATCTTCCCCACCTAATCAACTCAGGCTCACACATTAATTTCCTCTGTAAACACCTTCACAGACACACCCAAAATAATGTCTCACCAGATTTCTAGGTATTCTTTAATACAATCAAGTTGACAACTAAAATTAAGTCCACAAGTCCACACCTTGTTAACTTCACAACCAGGCACATCTTCTTAAACCATACTAAATTTCCAAATCAAGACAATAACAGGATAATAGTTCCACCAAACATGATGCAACTATTCTGTGTTTGTAATTTTCAGGATTTTAGATGTTAGGAACTTAGGCTTTAGGAATTTTGATCTTTCAGATATTGGATTCCAAATTGGTGTTCAGAAATGTGTCTTTCAGGATTATCCAAACCTGTAAAACTAAAGCACTATATAAGAAGTCTAAGCAAAAAGAACACAGCGGGGGGCATCACACTACCGGATTTCAAACAATATTACAAGGTTACAGTAATCAAAACAGCATGGTACTGGTACCAAAACAGAGATATAGACCAATGGAACAGAACAGAGGCATCGGAGGCAACACAACATATCTACAATCATACAATCTTTGATAAACATGACAGAAACAAGCAATGGGGAAAGGATTCCTTGTTTAATAAATGGTGTTGGGAAAACTGGCTAGCCATGTGCAGAAAGCAGAAACTGGACCCCTTCCTGACACCTTACACTAAAATTAGCTCCAGATGGATTAAAGACTTAAACATAAGACCTGGCACCATAAAAACCCTAGAAGAAAATCTAGGCAAAACCATCCAGGACATAGGAGTAGGCAAGGGCTTCATGACCAAAACACCAAAAGCATTGGCAACAAAAGCCAAAATAGACAAATGGGACCTAATCAAACTCCACAGCTTCTGCACAAAGAAACAGTCACTAGAATGAATCGGCAACCAACAGAATAGGAAAAAATTTTTGCAGTCTACCCATCTGACAAAGGGCTGATATCCAGAATTTACAAAGAACTCAAACAGATTTACAGGAAAAAAACAAGCCCATTCAAAAATGGGCAAAGGATATGAACAGACACTTTACAAAAGAAGACATACATGAGGCCAAAAAAATATGAAAAAATGCTCATCATCACTGGTCATTAGAGAGATGCAAATCAAAACCACATTGAGATACCATCTCACGCCAGTTAGAATGGCGATCATTAAAAAATCTGGAGACGACAGATGCTGGAGAGGATGTGGAGAAATAGAAACACTTTTACACTGTTGGTGGGAGTGTAAATTAGTTCAACCATTGTGGAAGACAGTGTGGCGATTCCTCAAGGCATTAGAAACAGAAATTCCATTTGACCCAGCAATCCCATTACTGGGTATATATCCAAAGGACTATAAATTGTTCTACTATAAGGACACATGCACACGAATGTTCATTGCAGCACTGTTTACAATAGCAAAGACCTGGAACCAACCCAAATGCCCATCGATGATAGACTGGATTGGGAAAATGTGGCACATATACACCATGGAATATTATGCAGCAATCAAAAATGATGAGTTTGTGTTGTTTGTAGGGCATGGATGAATCTGGAGAACATCATTCTCAGCAAACTGACACAAGAACAGAAAATGAAATACCGCATATTCTCACCCATAGGAGGGTGATGAAAAATGAGAACACATGGACACAGGGAAGGGAGTACTAAACACTATTGGGCTCTACTGGGGGGAATAGGGGAGGGACAGTGGGTGGGGGGAGCTGGGGAGGGATAGCCTGGGGAGAAATGCCAAATGTGGGTGAAGGGGAGGAAGGCAGCAAAACACAATGCCATGTGTGTACCTATGCAACTGTCTTGCATGTTCTGCACATGTACCCCAAAACCTAAAATGCAATTAAAAAAAAAGTTGAATTGTTATTCAATTTTTAATCAATTGCTTATTTTCAATAATTCTTTTTACCAAATTTCATCAACCACAAAATGTGCACGAAGCATAAAATAAATTTTGCCACTCAGTAACAAGAAAGCCAAAACTATACTTCAGAATAACATGAGTGCAACACCTTATGCCAACGTCCAACAGCAAACTGAAGGCAAGTTCACTGGAAAAGCCAGGCTAACCTAGTTTCACCACACGCAAAGCACATTTGGAAAGCAATTCAAATTCTTCCAATACGTACTGGAATATCCTTTCCTACTCTACAAGACTAAGTCAGAGTCACCACTGTCCCAATACCATGCTATTACTTTTTATCTTGAGACGTAAATCAATAATCATTTCAGCAGCTAACTGAAAACATAAACCCTTCTTTTAAGGACATTTGGTTTCTTGACATACTTAGCAAGGGTCTATATACTTGGTCTATAATGGCCAAGTAAAAGTCTATCTCCAGAAATAAAGTCCTTTTGGTCTTCACAAAGGCTGAAAAATATGTGTGTGTGTGTGTGTGTGTGTGTGTGTGTGTGTGTGTGTGTGTTCTAGTGGAAAGTTCACATGTCAAATTTAAGTAACACATCTTCTTTACCCTGTTTAAAGTGTATATCCAAAGTTAATCCAGGCAGCAATGTGTACTTAGCAATGTGTACTAAAAATTTTTAAATACACTAAAATTTCCACATATTCTTAGTTTTAATCTTTAATCTCTGAGTTTACAAATTTTCCTAATATTAGTATGAATGCACAGAAGTATTTTAAAAGCAAGAAAATGTAATATCCTAAGCAACCATAAATAGAGAAACTAATTAAAAAATGAAGTGCTTGGCCAATGAACACCTTGAATGAATATCAAATGAATATTCTTATGGCATGATTTCAGTTCCAAAAGTACCATAGCAACATATGAATGTGAAAAAAAGCTATCCAAATAACCTTGGTTAAAACATGTCCTCTTGTTACCTGTCTCTGAAATTATGCTTCTTAGGAATAACTTTTAATTAAATTCTCCCAGCATTCAAATTTACTTTGAATCCTAGCACTCTTCCAAGCATTATATAAATCATATTAACACTTTCTAAGTTGATATTTATCTAGGGCCAAACAAACTCCGAATCACATATAGTGTTATACTTAATGAAATGGCAACAAATTCCACAAGTTTTTCTCAAATGGATTTAAAGTTGGCAGACAGGTTTTATGCTAAGCAAGAAAATGTTTCATTTCTGTGGAAACTTCATTCAATTTCCATGTTGTCAGAGTTTCTTTTTCCATAACCAATTATAAGAAAGATCAGCAGTGTGCACAAAGTGAAGTTCACATGCATGGGAGACTAATGTTTATACCTGCACAGTCTGCTCCTGAGAAGTCTGGACACTCTTCCCAGAGAGGCCCAGCACAGGACAAGAGGAAAAGATGGAGGATATATAAACTGCCTCAGTTGCAGCTTCCTTAATAGAGAGGTCTTCATACACCTAAACCTACACACATACCACACATACCACACACACACCCACACACGTACACACACCAGCAAATGAATGGAAATTTGGTACATTTTTTAAGTACTCATGTTTTACATAGAAATTCTAATAGCTTCTTACTTTCAGGTAGACATAGGCTCAATCCATACTCATGGAAATTAGCTTTACACAAAATATAAATAATACTATTGAATTTGATACAAAATAACACGATTGCCTTCATGAGTTATAGCAGTTAGATTTTATAACTTTCAATTATATTTCCCTAAAATTAGCAGAACCTACTTTACTGGGATATTTAGGTATTATTCTGGATAATACCAATTAATTCAAATTCAAAATAAAATAAAAGAAGTTGATATATAAGGCTGGGCATGATGGTTCACACTTGTAATCTCAGCATTTTGGGAGGCAAAGAGAGAGGACTTCTTAAGCCCAGGAGTTTGAGACCAGCCTGAACAACATAGTGAGACTCTGTCTCTATGTAATTTTAAAAAATACACACACACACAGACACACCTATGTTATATATGTATATATGTTATAGGTGTGTGTATATAAGTATATATATGTCATATATACACACACATGTCTGTGTGCATGTGTATATATATATTCACTGGAAATTAGAATTTATATATATTTATATATAAATGTATCAAATAAAGACTAAATAAAATAATATATTTATATAAATATAAAACTTACATATTTATATATGGAATGTATATATACATATATTACACTACTCCTGAAAATGGCAATTTCCAATCCTATAATATTGTGTAACATCTCAAAGAAACAGTTTTTAAAGCTTGAAACGACAATCTCACAAAGAATATATCAACAGAAACTCTTTGAATAGGATGTACTACATTTTTTTTTCCTTTTACAGATAATATGCTCTGTATTTTGCTACTTTAACAAGGTCTTGGCTCTAAGGAATATTAATTCTGACAAGCAATTAGAAGGGTGGTCATGTCACTACTATGCCATTGCAGAAAAATACTTCAGTAGAAACTTCTAATCCCCTAGGCCAGGGGTCCCCAACCCGGGCTACAGACAGGTAGGGTCTGTGGCCTGTTAGGAATGGGGCTGCGCAGCAGGAGGTGAGCAGTGGGTGAGCAAGCATTACCACCTGAGCTCCGCCTCCTGTCAGATCAGTGGCAACATTAGATTCTCATAGGAGTGTGAAGCCTACTGTGAACTGCACATGTAAGGGATCTAGGTTGCATGCTCCTTATGAGACTCTAACTAATGCCCGATGATCTGAAACAGAACAGTTTCATCATGAAACCATGCACCTCCACCCCCCTCCCCTGACTGCCGCCTTTGGTGCCCAAAATGTTGGGGATCATTGCTATAGGCTGGCGGGCATCCCTCAGGCCTCATGAAATTCCAAACAACTCCAATGAAGTCGATTACCTCCTCTTCCCGAAACAGTGTTTATTTTTAAACCTGTTTTGTATTATCAGTGATGTTTGGACACTCACCTGTGATTTTTTGCAGCAAAGGTGACAATTCAGACTCCTCACAAAAGACCCGAGCCAATGCTTTCTTGACTTTTTCTTCTGCTTCACCCAGGTCTTTGTCTGCTGTGAGCTCTTCAGTGACAGAATAAATATATATGAGAAGGATCAGCAGTTCCTCAGGGCTGTAGTCCTCATTGGTTCTCTGGGTTACAGGCTTAATCATGGGCAACAGCTGATTTAACACCACAGACATTGCTGACTCCCCAATGCTCTGAAATAAGAAGTGAAATGAATATATGTCAATCTTCTACAAAGACATAATTTATGTACCATATTAGTCTAAAGATAGCTTGCACATAAGTCTATAGATGATATTTACTGACTGCATCACATTTTTTTTTTTTTGAAAGGGAGTCTTGCTCTGTGGCCAGGCTGGAGTGCAGTGGTGTGATCTTGGCTCACTGCAACCTCCCCCTCCTGGGTTCAAGTGATTCTCCTGCCTCAGCCTCCCAAGTAGCTGGGACTACAGGCATGCACCACCATGCTCAGCTAATTTTTTGTATTTTTAGTAAAGATGAGGTTTCACCATGTTGGCCAAGATGGTCTTGATCTCTTGACATTGTGATCTGCCTGCTTTAGCTTCCCAAAGTGCTAGAATTACAGGTGTGAACCACTGCGCTCGCCCCGCATTCCTTTTTATTTGTGTGTTTCCTGTCCTGAAGAGAATACTATAAGAAGTTTAGCATTGGAGTTTTTGTTCTGAAACTCCTAATCTGTAAAATGGCTAAGTCAAGTTGTAGGTTCCATTATATCATCTTCATATTGCTTAAACAAAAGAGTCCATTAATTTTAAAGAAAAAAATGTAAGTGCTTCAGATACTTTTAAATTTTAAAGAAAAATAGTATATTTGTAAGATGTTATCAAATAAATTTTAAGGAAAAATAGTATGTATGTAAGATAATATTATTTAACAAACAAACAAAAGAGGCAGCATCTATATCCAAACGAAAGCTGACACTACTTCAAAGGAATCACCGCAGATTTTGCAGCATATTATTTGTAATGGTCTCTACATCAGCAAATATTAGCCAGAATGCTTCTAACAATACAAAGTCAATTACTGCTAAATCTGGCAAATACAATATGGGGTCAAACTGTGTAATGTTACTCAGGATTCAAAATTTCTTTGAGTGAGTCAGTAGATAATTCACATTAAATTTTTTTTAAAAATTGCCTTTACCTCTTCCACAACTTCTTGAGTGATACTTAGCAGAGAAATTCAAAATTCTTTGAATGTGATAATAGCACTGTATCACTGGAGTAAGTGTGTAAGTTCCCAGAAACTATACATATACATACTATTTCATAAATTCTGAGATTTTTGGTGAATACAGAACTCATCTTAAATAATATAATTCAATTCCTCTTAAAATATAAAATAACCCTATAAGATAACTCTACGATTTGTATTTATATTCAAATCATGGGTCAAATTAACACAACTTGTAACTTACGTTATTCATTCAGAAGCATTCACTGAGCACCTACTATGTTCCAGGTATTAGTCTAGGAACACAGCAGTGAACAAAACAAATTCCCTGCTTTCATAGTTTATATTCCAGTTAGAGGAAACAACTCAAAAACAAAAGAAGCAAAACATAAACATCAGTCCACCCTTGTCCATGGTTTCCATGGTTTCACTTACCTGGGTCCAAAAATATTACATACAGTAAGTTATTTTGAGAGAGAGAAAGAGAGAGAGAGAGAGAGAGAGTTCACATTCCCATAACTTTTATTATAGTATACGATTATAACTGTTCTAATTTTTATTAGTTATTGTTAGTCTCTTATTGTGCTTGTTATTATGACAAATTAAACTTTGTCATAGCTATGTTAAAAAAAACACAGTATATATAGGATTCAGGACTATGCATAGTTTCCGGCATCTACTGGTGTTCTTGGGAAGAAAAATAAAGCAGGAAAGGAAACTCACTTTAGGACGTGTGCCTGTGTGTGTGAATGTGCACTAGATTACATAGGAAAAGCCACGTTAAAAGGAAATATTAGAATAAAGAAATACCAATAGAAATTCTTCCTTTTTTTGAAGGGAAAGTCAACAGCAAACAGCTCAATGTTGTTCTGTGCTGAAATGATTACCCAAAATGAGCTTTTCTAGTCATCTCCACACCTGGAAAAATTTGGACAGATCATCTCAAGGTGGAGTTTCACAATCACATTTCATATACAAAAAACAGGTGTTACCATTTATTTCCACTAAAAATCCTGGATGTTCACAATGTACTATACAAAAATAAAATGCTCAGTCCTTGGAATGAACAAAGGAAAACTGGAAAAGAACAGAATGGCGATTTTACTGTCACATGGTGGACAAGACACAGTTTACCAAGTGTAAACACACACATGCTTCCAAAGGATCAGAGGACTGAAAGTTTTGAAGACACCTAGGACTTCCCCACAGCTTCAGGTGTCTCTTTAGAGCAGGAGTGTCTAAACTTTTGGCTTCCCTAGGCCACACTGGAAGAAGAATAACTGTCTTGAGCCACACATAAAATACACAACCACTAACGAAAGCTGACAAGCTAAAAAAAAAAATTGCAAAACAATTTCATAATGTTTTAAGAGAATCTATGAATTCCTGTTCGGCTGCTGCATTCAAAGCCATCCTGGATCACGTGCAGCCCGTGGACTGTGGGTTGGACAAACTTACTCTAGAGGAACCTCAAGTGTTTCTTTGCTTTATAAGCTGCCAAAAGTAATTTAAAAGTAAAGAGTCCTGTGGTTGACCTGTTAAAAGAAGGTCATGAAGGCTGCAGCTTTCATTTTTGTGTTTGTTTACTCTATCACTAACTCCTTGGATGACAATAAACAGACTCCTTCATTGCTTTATGTCCCATTTCTAGACACCAGGTGTACACATAAAACATCTATCCTATAGGAGCCCTCTGGGTCTCTCCCCAGAGCAAATGGATTTTCTAAAATATAGTTATAAAAAGTTTGTATAGTTATAAAATAGAATAGAATAATCACCATGATCATTTGTAAAGATTCATTCACTAACATCTGGCCTTCAGAGCTTCATTTTTAAGTCATTGGTCTATAATATGTGCTAGAGAACAAAATTCCTCATTAGTGATACCCTATCAGAATTCTGTTGTACATACCAATTTCTAAAATTACATTCTAAACCTGTTTAATGCATCCCAAGAATTCAATAACTGAGCTGAATACAAAGTCAGGAATACTGACCAGTCATAAGAACCAGGGGAGATGATGGAAATAAAGAGATTCGATTTCAAAAAAGCTGAATTCCAACTCTGATTGTTCCTCTAACTACTTAACTTCTCAGGATCTCTTCCTTCTAAACTAACATGATCTGACCAGAGGTTGGCTGGGCAATAAGTCATGTTATGCCCAGATCTCCATTTTTCCTTTCTCCCCCACCGCCTTAAAAAAAAAAAAAAAAAAAAAACTTTACCATTGTTGTGAAGGCAGCAATTCATACTCTCACTGCTGGATACTTAGCAAAACATAAATGCCCAAAAAAGGCCAGGTGTGGTGGCTCATGCCTATAATCCCAGTACTTTGGGAGGCCAATAAGGGAGGATCACTTGAGGCCAGGAGTTTGAGACCAGCCTGGGCAAAATAGCAAGACTCCTGTCTCTACATAAAATAAAAAATTAGCTGAGCATGGTGGCATGTGCCTGAAGTCCCAGCTACTCAAGAGGCTGCGGTAGAAGGATCGCTTGAACTCAGAAGTTTGGGGCTGCAGTGAGCTATGATTGTACCACTGCACTCCAGCCTGGACAACAGAGCAAGATCCTGTCTCTATAAAAAGGTTTTTTTAATGCTCCAAAGAGAAAAGCTTTTTTGTGGATACAGACAGACAAATCCAGAAATAATTGCAGACATGCATGTAACATAGGCTGGCATTCACACATATATTTCCTACTCTGTCCACTGAGAAGTAGTGCTGCCTCAGTAGCAATGAGCACACCCAGCGGCCAGATCTTACTTTCTAATATCATTCTCCAATAAAAGGAACCAGGAATCCTTAGAGAAATGATTCTAGGGACGGAGAAGGGAAAATTCAAGATGAGTCTGAAAGATCTTTTCAAAAAGTAATAAAGTGGAAACAAACCAAAATGATAACCACATGTCAAAAGGATACACAAGCCAAATGTAAGACTTCCCAGTGACCAAAGCTGGGACAATGTGAACCACAAAATAAAGTAGTGTTTGATTTTAACCCAAAGTACACAATAAATATATATCAGTCCATATTGATATAAATGAGTGATTGGATTAATAAATATAAACATAGGAGAAGAGACAAATCTTCCTTAAGGAATTCCAAATAACTCAATGTAGATACTTCTACCTTCAGGAGATGGAGCTGAATTCTCCCTATCCCTTGAATATGGGCTGCATGTAGTGACCTGCTTCAAAAAATGGAGTATTTTTGGAAGGGAGAGTGAAGGAATATCTTTACCTTAGCATAATCAGTGATAAAACATATTGCTCTCATGTCCTTAAGATGACACCATCTTCCCTAATGTGATCTGATGAGAACGGTACTTCACCTTTCCAGTATTCTTCCCCCAAAACTCATAACCATGACAAAAACATCAGACAAATCCCCACTGAACAACGTTCTACAAAATGCTGGTCAGTACTCCTCAAAACTATGAAGATCATGAATAATAAGGAGAGACCCAAAAACTGTCCCATGACAGTTGAAACTAAAAAAAAATCTACTAAATGTAATTGTCATATCCTGGATGGGCTCTTCAGATAGAAAAAGGACTTTAGGGAAACATTAATGAAATCTGAATCATGTCTGCAGTTTATAGTTAATGTGCCCATGTTAGTTTCTCATATTTGAAAAATGCACCACAGTAATACAAGATTCTAACCATAAGGTGAGGAATAGACAGAAATTTTCTGTACTATCTTGGGAATTTTTCTGTAATCTAAAGCTATTCTAAAACGCAATGTTTATATGGAAAGTAAAGAAGGGAGAAGGGGGAAAAGAAAAAAGGGAGGGGAAGGGAGGACAGGGATGAGAAATAAAGACTTCCTGGTAAGAAAATTCCTCACAACCAGAGCCATCTGCCGAAGTAAAGGACTGACCCAGGAAGCAGTGAACTCTCCATCAATGGCAAAGAGAGGCAGGGTGCTCATCTGCCCAAGATGAAGCAAAGAGAACCCTGTGCCACTTTGGCTTGGAGGGTAAACTAGACTAGACCCTC